ATATATATATATATATATATATATATATATATATATATATATATATATGAAATTATATATGCAAAAAACTGAACAAAATGAACATTATGAGCATTAAAATTATATAATACATTAAATTAAAATCATAGTTGCCTGGTATTATAAAAAGAACCAAGGCAACCTCCATCCTAAGTCTGAAATAGCTATCTCTTCAAAATCCCCCCTCCTCTCTCACATACACATACCTCACAACCACAAAGGCTTTTAGGGAAACATGACCAATGATATAATGGTGTTTCTAATAGAAAAAAAATCACTGTTATTTATTTGTTTTTCCTTCTTGAGGTATTGAGTACCTCAAAGATGGGGAAAGTATATTTTTCCTCACAAAAGTTGATTGTTAGTTCTTCCATTTCTTTTTGTATGTTAGCTTTTTTTTTCTTTGCAAAAAATCATGCTACCATAAGCAGTCACACTGTTGCCTAACATCAGCAATTTCATCTCTGGGAATTGCAGACTGGGATATGGGGAGTATTTTATATTAATAGGGACTCATGTTATGACTGGGCTTCCTCCATTCTGGTGATGCCACAGTCAAGAAGTTGAACCATCCATACACCTAGGCAGTGGTGGGTTCTGGATCCTATAACGGATAGAACGAGCCCGGCATCACCCACATGGGTGGGTGATGTGTCATACCTGCAGTGCGTGCATGTGTCATACCTGCCTGCGACGCCTCCGCAAGCCTCCGAAATGCTTCAGCTGCTCGCCAGAGCATCCCGCAGGCGCCATACGTGCCATGCACTTGCACATAAGCACCAAAGGCTTAAAAGACATGTAAGGACCTCAGGTGGGTGGGTGGGCCCTCCAGAGCACCGTACCGGAATGGTATCCGGTGCTCCGGGCAGGCTCCGGTACACTTGTACTGGGGTGTACTGCCTGCAACTCACCACTGCATCTAGGGGTGAAATCCACTTACCTTTGCTACAAGTTTAATAGCAATGTGACCGTGCGCAGAGCGTCAAAAACGGATGTGATGACGTCCGGGCAGGTGGGCGGAGCATGCTACCAAGCGCAAAGCACCTGCAAAGTGAGGGGAGAAATCCATTGTGCCACACGATATAAATTGCACATCGCAGCTGATGAATGGGTTGTATGCAGATGTGAAATACTACTGGTTCGGACATGTTGGCCCGAACCAGGAGTAAAAAAAAAGAAAACCGGTATCATTTTTTTACTACCGGTTCACATGAACCGGTAGCATTTTTACTACTGGTTTGGACCTGTTGGCCAGTAGCATTTCACCCCTACATACACCCCATTCTCATTGTTAAAAAAGAAGTATGTAAGGAAGAGTAAAGCTTGACTGTATAACTGAATGTCAAATCACTATTAACTCCTCCCTCCCTGATGTAACAATTTTTTCAAGGAACCGAGCCTCAATAGATTTACTCATAATGACAATCTCCTATTCCTGTTTTATGCTGGTTCTCTGCAAAGAACAACACAGGTTGCAGTGACTTTGCAGCTGTCTATTTTATCTCAACTCCCCACAAATAATTAGAGGCAAGTCTTTGTTCACCTACACAATAAACAGAAACCTGAACATTTAGCAAGTAAAATGTTGATCAACCTTCTAGTTCCAAGAGAATGTGAAAGGGAGGCAGCCAGGGCAGAATGCGTAAGATTAATTTATCAAAAGAAGAAAAGGAGGGAAGATTAAGGAAGTGAATACAGTCACAAAGAGGAATAGAAAAAGTTTTCAAAGGACTCATAGAATAAAGTATATGATAGAAGAAGAACAAACAGCTTCTTTGCAAGCAGCATAAATACATCATACCTATTTTGATAATAGCCCTATTTATAAATTGGGAATGGGAGGAATTTGAATAGAAGTTTGTCTCAGAAGTACACATGATTCCTCTAGAGCAGTGATAGTGAACCTTTTTGGCACTGAGTGCCCAAACTGGAATGTGCATGCATGCCTGTTTTTTGGGTATTTTGCACCATTTTTCAGGCCATTTTCAGGCTGTTTTCTGGCTCTCTGGTGCCCACAAAAACCAACTGACCAGTGCACATGTGCATGCCAGAAACCAGAAGAACAGTTGGCAATGGTACACGTGCCCACAGAGAGAGGTCCCACTCACCATCCTCAGGCTGGTATTTTTGCCTTCATGCTTGTGTGAGTAAAGCATGGTCAGAGCTGCCGTCTTTCTATAAATCTTTGTATGGGTGTGTGTGGAGTTCTGGCTTTGTTGCTATAAGTGGGTTGATTGGCTGTATAGTTGTATCATGATTGGTAGATTGGTGCTGATTGGTGCTGGCTGTGTGTCTGTTGTTGTTTCGTGTTGTAACAGCCTGGGTTGTGGGTGGGGCTGGTTTGTTGACCAGGGCTGGTTTCCAGATGTCTGGTAGGCGGGAGGTATCATCACNCTGGCATTTAGCAACAACAGCCTGAGACCAGGGCCCTGACAACTCTCGCCATCTGGTCTTGGAGTGGAGCTAACAGGCACCTTAAGATGTACAAGCTCTTTGGAGTGGCATAAAAGCCTTGTAAAACAAATGAATAATACATGCAATTTTGAAGGGCTATTCTGCAGAGGAAATTCTACTTTATAATACAGATCATTGTAACTGATTTATTTCCTTAAACACGTTCGCCACTTTGTATCACTGTGATTTTAGGTATGCCTTGCAAAAATTAAAAGAAATCAAAATAAAGTGAAGGAGAGCACGGTCTGCCTTTTCGAAAACAAAAGCCCCTGCTTGTAACTCTGCTGTTTGAGTCTGGGAAATGAATGAATTTGAATTTTAGTGTATCTGTATATTACAGTTATATCATCTGAGGTGGTTCCACAGTATGGAATCTTCTCCATTCTTTCTTTTTTTCTTAATATTCTCAAGTCCCAAACTGGAAGGCATGCACATGTGCGCCAGGGGTGGTTCTGAATCCTGGTGCAACCGGTATGGTGCAACGGGGCTGGGTGTCCACCATATGCACGCACACAGCGTGCGCATCCATACTTACCTCCCGTGATGGCTCCACGACGCTCCAGCTGCTCAGTGGAATGTTGCGCAGGCGCCGTACGCTCTGTGTGCAGAAGTCCCGATCAGCTCAAATATGGGTAAGGACGGTGGGTGGACCCCGGAATGGTACCTGGTGCTCCCAGCAGACAACGGTATGTCCGTACCAGGGCGTACCGGTTGTATCCCACCACTGATGTGCGCGTGTTGGAGCACCAAAAACCTGAAGACCAGCTGCCTGGCACACCTGTTTTTTGGGCATTTGGGGGGGGGGGTGTTTTTGGGCTGTTTTCAGACTGGTTTTCAGGCCCAAAACAGCCTGAAAATGACCCTGAAAATAGCCTGGTTTTTTTGGCTATTTTCAAGCCGTTTCCTGCTGCTCCGGTGCCTGTAAAGACCAACTGGAAACCACATGCACCGGAAACCAGAAGAGCACCTGGAGATCATGTACATGCCCCCAGAGAGGGCTCTGCCACGCATGCCATAGGTTCACTATCATGGGCTTAGACCACCTTGACTCTATTATGGTGCAATCGTATTATCAGGATTTCAGTTAAATGGTTCCTAACTTGCAAACATTGGTCTAAATGAATGCTGCATGTCTCACATGTAATTTCATCACAGGGATTATTATTCACAACCATGCAGTTACGCCTCCCTGACACTTAAAAGCATAATATGTTTTTAACAGTAGCTACATTTTAAATAATCTCTGAAATGTAACTATGAGTCCTATCCTCCATAAACTGTTAACATTTAAAACTGTTTGCTTGTCTGGTAGTCTGCAAAATGTCTGGAGATGATACAGTGGTCCACAGTTGTCCAGCATGTCCTTCCACTAAGTCAAGAGTGGGGAACCATGGCCATTTTAAGACTTGTGGACTTCAAATCCCAGAAATCCTGGCATGGCCGGCTCAGGAATTCTGGGAGTTAAAATTCACAGTCATAAAAGGGCCATGGTTCCCCACACCTGCCCTAAATGTGCCCCTTGGATTGCAGTTCAGTGTTGATTTCTGTTCACTTGTGTCCAATACTTGGAGATTGCCTAGAAAGGTCCCTGCAGTTTTCTTGAGAAGATTTTTCTCATGTGCTTTGCCATTGCCTGATTTTCAGGGCTGAAAATGGCTGCCCAAGGTGACCCAGCTTCATCCCTAAGGCAGAACTATAGTTTGTATTCTCCTGGTTTCTAGCTCAGTGCCTTGTCTATTACACCAAATTGGCTGTGTGTGTGAGAGAGATTCTTCTGCCTGGACAAGTCCCTGCCATTTTCTTGGCAACGTTTTTCAGATGTAATTTGCAATTGCCTTCTTTCTGAGGCTGAGAGAAAGTGACTGGCACAAGGTCATCCAATTGGCTTCATGTCTAAGGCAAGACAATTATAGCAATGCAGCTTTGGTATTTAAGGTGTCACATAAATTGTCACAAAATCCCACACCTTTTTTCTTTTCTTTTTGCTTTGCAGACTGAAATGGTAGGCATTTGGAATTTAACTGCATAATTTAATGAATAGAATAGAAACTGTTGATTTAGTTATTTGACCATGTCAAAGGGTAACTTAAAGATAACAAAGATTATATTACTGTCCCCCACCTGTGTTGGATATTAGTTTTAAATTTGGGGATTGTGATTTTCCGGTTGCTGGTTTTTAGAAAACTTGCTCCAAAGGTATTCTCATCTTGGGAACAGATAGCAGACAGGTTGGTTGTTATTTTAATCTCATGCTTCTATGTTTATAATTAATTTTGCCCTGGTTATTTTTAGTTAAAGGGTGTCATGACCAGCTGGGGAGATGAGTTGGGGACATCTGTCGCGGAGCAGATGGGGCCAAACTGAAACTGCAGCATGTCTCTTCCCAACTATTCAGAGGATACATTTACCTCCGTGACTGAAGAAGAGGATGAGAGGCAGTACGCGGACGACTCATTTGAATTTTATGACTCAGTGGATGAGTGGAAAGAGCCAACGGCCTCTGATCTGACAGAGAACACTTGGCAATCCTCATGTCAAAAGGATGGAGGTCGGTTAGGATCCACAAGGATTTGGTTCAGTTCCTTCTGCAGGTTTACAAGTGGTGAGGGAGGGAGACTTAGGTCAGCAAAAATAGAAAACAAGCACAAGGGGAGAAAAAGGCAAAAGAGAAACTTGCCAACTTTCTGTTGAACAGCAAGTTAATTTTTTTTATTTTGCTAACTCAAAAAACTTAGAAATATTACAAAAATATTAATTATATTTAAGTTATTAATAATAAAATATTAAGAATTTTTAAATAGATTAAATGAATTATACAATTTAAAATAAAAATAATAAAAAATTAAACAATATTACAGAAATGAAGAAATATATGCCACGCAAAAGAAGGAAATGTCTGTGTGTAGCATTTAGCTCAATGGGGGCAGTCAATTTGTAGAGCATCTGTGAGATCGGGTAGCTCTGTAAGAGCAGCAAAATACTGGATGCCCAAAATTCATATGGGCTAATCAATTTTAATGTTTTATATTTTTTAAATGCTTTAATTGTATAATTAGTGACAGCCATGGACAAAAGAAACACTATATTTGGCCTGTGATGACATTAATCAAGGAGAAAATCCCAGATGGTAGGAAACCATAACAGGAGAAAATGACAACCCTTCCACTCTTATAAGATTCTGTGCTTAGTGCACCCTTTAACCAGGACTTGTCAGGCCTGAGCCCCCAAAACAACACAGTGAGATCCACTTAAGTCTGCTTCTTTATTTGCTTACATCCATTAGACAGAATCTTGTCCGACTAAAGCTATAAGCTTCTAATGTAACATATACACCATGATGGCGAACCTATGACATGCATGCCAGAAGTGGCACGCAGAGCCACCTCTCCGGGCACGCCAGCTGTCACCTGTTGCTCTTCCAGGTTCTGGCATGGCAGCCGGCTGGTCTTTGCACATGCAGGAGTGCTGGAAACTCGAAGAGCAGCTTGCTGGTGCGCTCCCTAAGCTTCCGGTTTCTGGTGCACGCATGCGCACTGGCCAGTTGGTCTTTGTGCCAGAAACCAGAAGACCCGGTGACTGGCGTGCATGCACATGCCAGAAACTGGAAGTTCAGCCTCCCACCACGCACATGCGTGTCGGGGAACTGCTCTTCCGGTTTCCGGCGCTCCCACTCGTGCGCACCGAGGAGCTCTTCTTCCGGTTTCTAGTG